GTTTAACAGGCACACGTAATTTTGAAGTTTGACATATGAGGCATCTTTTTACTCGGGGAGTAAATTCATCTTTTACATTCTACAAAAACAATGTGTATTATATTGTGTTTCTGTGCACTGAAATTTTATCTAAAAGGTATTTTTGACTGGAAATCTGGAAGACAGAAGTAGCCAACCATCTGGGATTTTCAGATGTACTCAGGTCTTCTTTTAACCCATCCAACATAACCTCATATTTCTCTCATGACAGATTTACTTTTACAGATTTAGAATTCCATAGGTCTCCCTAAATGAATTCCAGATAATACTGTGTTTCCATTCTTTGTCTCACTTTTAGGCCACAAATATTGGAAACAAACCTTCATCCTAGCACATCCTATCTCAACCTGTGTGCCGTGGCACCCTGGGGTGCCTAAAACTTTTCGCACAACATCATGCCTTTACTGATGCTAATCCATGAAGGGTGGGTTCCAGAATTTGAGTTATTGTGTGGGGTCCCCCCTTAAAATCCATATCAGACTCCTATCTAGAACAAGGGTCTGGTATGCATTTGTGAGGGGCCACACGTTCCTTTTTACATGTTACACTGGGCTGCCTTGAGATATTGGATGCATTTAAAGGGTGCCGTGACTGAAGAAAAAGGATTGAGAAATGTTGTCCTAGCACATCTGACTATAGCAAGGTCTGGCCAGTTCATGGAACAAGAATAACTGGTCTATAAACAATGTGTACCAACCAAAACTAGTTGGTAAGCAACATGCAACAACAAAGCTAGTCATTTCTAACCTAGAACTACTTAGTAAATACGTGATGAAAAAAAAGTAAATAAAAAACAAAAACCTTCAACACTAAGATTTGGTAAACACAAGCCATAAGACATATATTAAAATACAACTATGACTGTAGATTATATTATAAGTCGACACTGTGAAAATAAGGGAGATGGTGCAGTGGCATTATCCCCCTGAAAAAGGAAATACAATGGTGACTGAAATGCTTGCAATTCCTCCATCTGTGCACTAATAAAATATTCAATATAACTCTTCTTCAATACAATGTTATTACCATTACAGCACTCAATGAGCCACACATAATTCACTTTCTTGCATTACAATGTTTATAAATGAATGAAAATGAGAATATAAACAAACTGTCACCAACAATTATCATTTATAATACTGGGACCTATCATATAAGAACCCAATGAAACCCCTGTAAAAAAAAAACAATACTAATAGTATAGGCTCATCCCTCTTTTCCCCGCATGTGGTCACTGTATAATCTATTTGCCACATATGTCCACAGTGCAGCTACATCTTGATTTGAAATAAATACAGAAGGTGACACTACTTATGTTTTAAAAATGCTAGCCAACTGGCTGTCACTGGCTTCAATCATTTGTGAGTTACTTATTTGGAACAAGTATGCAACAAGCGAAGTAAGGCCTGCAACTACAGGTCCGCAATCAGCAGGAAATGTGAACTTTAAAACAGAACTATGGGTGTGTTTTTCCCCATAGTTTTCTTAAGGGTCACGGGAGGACACAAACTAGCATCCTCCGGTGACCCAAAGCTCAGTATACAGCGAGCTACAGCTTGCTATATACTGAGAGCGCCGAAGCAGGGACAGATCCCGACATTACTGTCGAGATCCACCCAGCTGCGTGAGTGACAGCTTGCTCTGCCTATCTAGAGGCAGAGCCAGCTGTGCCCGACCCCTCCCCGTCTGATCCTCCACTCAGCGCTGGAGGATCGGAGCGGGGAAATCCCTGCAGGGACCCGTGAGTGACAGTCACGGCTCCCTGCAGGGAGACGATCAAGAAGTGTATCTCAAGGCAAAATATTTTAAAAAAGCATATTTACTACAGCTCACATGCTGTGCTTTTCCTGCTGGCTACTGGATTGGAAAAATGTAATTTAGATTGAATTTGTCCACCCCTGGTTTAATGGGTTGAAACTTTGGGAAATGTGCAAGTACAAAAAAATAAACCGCTGATGTGCCAGGAATAAAGTATGCTCCTAGCTTCCTCTTTGACATGACAACAGTGTACTTTTGCCTCTGCATTCCACAGCATGTCAGCCCTGACTACTTCATTCCTGATGGATTGCAAAGCCACTACTCATCTCCATATCCCCGCCTCCAAAACCCCTCCTCCTCATCCCCTTCTCAACTCGTCTCCACAGGCCCCTCCTCCTCGTCTCTATAATACCCCTTCAACCCCATATGCCCTCCTTTTCATCTCCATATCCATATGCCCTCCTCCTAGTCTCCATCATCAAATATTATTTTGTGATCCTACTATGAAAGTCTTTGCTCAGGTACTGCCTGGTAGTGGGTGACAATACTCTGTCCCCGTCTCCCAATTCCTGTCGTTTCTGATGAAGATTACGAGTGGTCATTTCAACACACATTACAAGGCATGGTCCACAGTTGACTCTACCAAGGTAAGCCACCCTAAGAAAAGCCATGCATGTAGACAAGAGGTGGCTGCAGATTAGCAGCACTGAGATACAAAGAACATTCAAAGTGTTGGATATAAAACAATAAATGACGGCCGTTTATGATATACAATGCTTTAGCAAAGTAAATATCATTCAATTAGAATTTACATCTACTTTATGGCCTCATTATTCACACTGGCATTGACAATTGTGTGCTTATAGGATAGAATCAGAGGCATCCCTACACTTTTCACCGTCTGAGGACGGGTTGGTGCTGGCAGTGCACATTACCAGGGGGTGGGGAATCTGTTTGGGGACGGGGGTAGTTGATGGTGCACATTATGGGGGGAGGTTTTAAGCTTGGGTTCGCAAGGTACCACCCAGCTCACTGATGTTACTTGTTACCAGGAGCTGAGCGGGACGCTCTGGCATCCAATAAGGTCAGTGAGTTGGGCCAGACGCCGGATAGAGTGTCCCAGATCGCTAAGATCTCTCAGCAACCTGAGACGCCTGGGCCGGAAAGGGGCAGCAAGCAAACCTGTCCTCCCAACGTGATGCAATGAGGTGCTGCCTGAGGCAACTACCTCTGGCTGATTTATTATAGGGATGTCCCTGAATATAATGATTTTTAATGTCATCATTAAAGCTGTGCATTTCCCTGCGTTCAGTTTAGCACCCAAAGAGTTATTTTCACGTTTCCTAAAGCATGACAACGCTCAACATGAGGAATTTCACAACTATCAATGGCGACCGTTCACACCTGAGCATTCCAAAACGTGCATGAGCTTCTTTTCAGACAGAAGTGTGTGTTTTTGGCTCTACAGACTTCATTTTTTTTTTCACATGATTTTTTTGCCTTACGTCCGTCTACTCCTCTTAGTATTAATACTAGTTTTGATATGTGGGGGCTTGGTGCAAACCCATTTCACCAGAGTTCGCCCAAGCCTGTACAAAATGGTCAGTGGCATACCCTCCACCCACCCCAATCAACTGCAGTTGGCGCATTCTTACATAGTTACATAGTATTTGAGGTTGAAGACATTAGTCCATCAAGTCCAACCTATTAGGATCTCATTCTAGGAGTAGCTGTACCCCTGTATATTACGGTCCCTTAAGAAATCGTCCAAAAGTTTCTTGAACAATTCCACATTCTTTGCTGAAATCACCGCATGCGGCAGTGAGTTCCAGACCCTAACTGATCTGATTCTCCATCCCGTCACACAACAAGGGGGGAAGAGATGCCCCGGCCACAACTGATTGGGCCAGGAGGGGATGTGTCACTTACAGTTTTGCCAAGCCTGTGTACATCACTAGTAGCTAGCTAAAACAAAATCAAAAAAATGATTTGGAATCACCTAAAATGCTCACGCATAGAATTCTGTGGGTCCAGGATCCAGCTAAACACATGCATGTAAAAGCAAGTAATTCAGGTAAGGGTGGGTACAGCTAAACATAAGAGAACTCTGCCTGGGAGGCAAACAGTTTGATTATATCGCTCAGATCATTTCTCTTGTGTTTAAATAACCTGAACCCTGGAGAGGAAGTGTGGATGTAGCCTTGAAAAGGATCTGATCGCTAAAACCACCCTTGCCTAAACCAGACTATACATGCTTCAAGAACCAGCCGACATTCGCGGCGTGGGTACTGCTGCCAAGACCCTTCCACCCGGCATCCTTTTGATCAGCTGATTGAAGGCGCGAGTCGGGAAATTCTCAGATGAACGGAGCTTGACAGCCAATTAGCTGCTAGCTCCGTTCTGGTATTCTGACAGCGGCAGGATTCGTCCATCTTGTAAGCATAGATGGAAGAATCTCTTCTACTTTTTTTGTTCAGCCCCCAGGTTGAATGAAAAGAAAAAAAAAAAATAGAACAGTGTATACCCAGCTTAAGATTCACTGAATAGATGTGGCAGCCCTGTTCACACTATGCGTCCACAATGGCTGACAGTGGGAATCCCATTATTCTCTATGGTGCCTGTTGACACCTATGAAACTTGATGAAGTGCCTGCAACTACCTAGAAAGGGTACGCTTTGCTACATAGTGCATGGCAGCCCCATAGACTTCAATGGGAGCACATATAAAAGTAACACATGTTACATACATCTTAGTGTGTTTCAGAACATGGCAAGCCCCTCCTCCACTTCCTAACAATCTCTACTTTATTTCACCTTCGTTGGGCAATATAAAAAAAAAAGCATAAGAAGCTCTTGGCTGTCTAGGGTAGACAGGGTCATGTTGGAGGGGGGAGAAGCAGTTCCACCATTAATAACACAGGTAATCTCCCTAGGCTGTGGCAGCCATTACACTCAGGTAATACCCTGCTGACAATGAGCTCACTCACTTACACACAGCAGTCATACAGAAAGTGCAGATAATGAACTCAGCTCTTCCTGTTCAAACTTTTTTTTTGCTCTCTCGTCACTTACAACGGTGCTCCTAGCAGAACTTGTTGCGCCTATAGTATGAGCCAGGATGGTCGGTTAGGACCGGTAGTACGGGTACCTGCAAGGATCCCAGGAACACAGCTGATCCTCCCTCCCCCGGGCTCTCCCACTCACTGCTCCTGACGAGCCCCCGGTAACAGTATGATCCGACCACCAAACACAAGGAAGAGACGAGCTGTCCCAGGCTGGGGCTGCCACGTAAACACGCCCCCTCACCACAACTTTACCCAATCATACAAGGGCTGACAAGCGGCTACGCCCCCGGGTAGGATTGGGTTACATGAAAAAAACGCTTCCTCTGAATCCCTGCAGACGTGCAATTCCCTTACTGCTCGATAGGTGGCAGAGCCTGCTGAGCCAGATCAGAATGGCTTGTTCATTGACATTGCATGGGCAGTGTCACAACACAATTGTTACGTGATACACTGAAAAGTGGAGCTATGGCCAAAATCAGATGTTACATATAATGTATTATAATGTAGTATGTAACTGGCATTGAGAGCAAGTTCACAAAACGCATAGCACATAAAGTGTGGTGCGTAGGTGCGCTGGGATGCACTGCTATAAGGCCTCATTCACACCAGGGCAACAGCATTTCAGCGCTTTTTTCCCCCGCGCTTTTTTTAGCATATTTTTTATGCGTGTTTTACAGGCATTTTCTGTTCATATGTAAGAGTGTTTTAAGGTTCGTTTTCAGCTCACTTTCAGTTGTCCAATGAAAAGCAGTCTCAGCTGCTAAAACAAATGCGTGAAAAAGATTAAAAACGCGCCGATCTGCACGTTTCCATTATAGCAGTGCATCCCAGCGCACCTACACACCACACGTGGTATGCGTTGTGTGAACCTGCTCTCAATGCCAGTTAGATACTACATTATTTGTAACATTATAATACATTATATGTAACATCTGTTTTTTTTAATCCTATATGTAAAGTCTATGCACTTGCAGTGCATTCAGAGATGTTGCAGCAAGTTGCAACGCAACTTCAAAGACATGCTGGAAGGTAAATTGGCTCCTGTCTAAATCGGCCTGTGTGCATGTCAGATAGGGACCTTGGATTGTAAGCTCCTTGAGGAGTTTACAATCGAAGTGCAGTATGTAAAATACCTGTAATAATAATAGTAATAATTGCAGTACGATGTAATGTTATGTACTGCGATAAAGTGAAGCCTGCAGCACATCAGTGTGAGTAGCCCCTATACAAAGCAAGGTTTCAATGTGGCTGGTGTAAACCAACCCTGACACAGCCATCTTTATTTTTATTATCCCGTGATCCTGCCAGTAAAGCTGGACATACACCTATACAATTTTGTTCTAATACATTTGTTTTCACAAAACATTCCACCCATTTTTGGATCCAAATTAAGAGTTGTTTTTGACCAAAAATTGATGAAAAATGTTTCTCAAACATATTTGTAAATTCTCAAATTATTTCTCCATCAAAATGAATGTAACATGCATGTGCTTGGATTGGAAATAAACATGGCATCACTTCCGTGCATCTCGAAATCGAACATTAGAATTTGATATATTTGTCGGGTCTGCCTGTCAATTTTTTCAGCCAAACCTGATCGGATGCCCAATGCAAGTCTATGAGCAGCTGTATGTAAACAGACGTGCGTCTGTTTACACCCGGTTACCCCCGCCTCCGGCCAGGTCTAGTAAAGAGGGAACGGAACAGTGTTCGATTATGTCGGACCAGATCGTGCCATACGGGGGTAATCTGATGTAAACGAACACATGTCTATTTGCATGCATTTCTCCATAGACAGACATTCGGTCCAGTAAATGCAGTTTTTTCCTATATCGCAAGATGAAAAAGCTGTATGGAAACGGATGTCACTGCGGTGACATCTGCTCCATACTGCTGTGATCAGGAGGGGGGCTTTTGATGTGAAGGAGGCTTCTTGGGGGGTGCACACATCAATATTATTTACATTTATGTTATTTACATTTTGGACTGGGGTGCCTCAACATTTTACATACTTCTAAAAGGCCACGACTGTAAAAAGGTTGAGAAACACTGGTATAGAAAACAGCAGAGGAGAGGGGCAGAGCCCTGTAGTCCTATCTTGTTTCTGCTGTCCTAATAAAGTGTTGTCATGCTAGGTTTGGAAGAGTGTTACCGGCAGGAACACTAGGTGAACAAATAAAGGAATAAAGCTTGGAAAAAATAACTACCTAATGCAGCCACCAAATCTAAAGACTGGTAAGCTGCAATATATTACATTTCTATTGTTTCTGGTGGGGTACAATGGTGTGCACCCCCAGCCCTGTTCTTAGGATGATTGTAGTGATAGTTAGGACTTCCATGTAATGTTTCTCTTATAACAACACTTGAAATGATGAAGTGATTGCAGCAGACAGATCCTTCAACCTATTTGCAGTCTTCATTTACATGCGAATCGCTGCATGCACTTCTGAAACACAGCACAGGACACAGAGATTGACAAATTGTAACGCAACTGGATGTCAGTCTCTATGGAATCGCTCCCTTGCTGTCTTTCCACTAGTTTTCTATTAAAATGCATGCAGCGGTGTTTAAATTGAAAATGCAGTGTTTTACAGGAAAAGGCTGCATGTGACCCGCTTTGCCTGCAGTTCAAACGCACCCCAATGGGACATGTAGCATCCAAAGTAATGCACCATATCACAAAGCAGGTCAAATGCTGTCTCTGAACTGTCATGTGAACACCCGTCCTGGGATGCAGGGTTCTGGCTAGCACAGATCATACACATGACATAAGTTATAATGAATTCAGGGCTAATCATATGCTATCATTTCCAATCATGAGCCCAGTTTCTAAAAGTAACCCTGTACTACCATTCTTCACTTACTACCTAATTTCTAGTAGCCTGGCTGTCTCTGGCTTCTGTATTTTTGGGCGACAGGCCTAGAAGAAGGCAGAAGACAGGAATCACCAGCACTCAGTAATATCATTCAATATGTCCATTTATTTGGACAAATCGTCACAATGAAAAAAGCCAACGTTTCGGGGCCACACAGGGTCCCTTCATCAGGGCGAAAAGATGTGGCCTAGAAGAAGCACACTTATTTGAAACATGACTTCTTAACTCTGAGTCTGAATCCACATAGTGGACACGAAAGTATTGATGTCATTGAATCAACATAATGGCCTAGTAACTAGCATTTTCAGAAAAATGAATAAGTAACATCAGTCTAAATTTCTCCATGTAAAGGCTCATTGTGACACTAAACTCAGGCGTAAAATCTTAAAAATACATTCAAGTACCTTAACTATTAACACATATTTATCTTATTTGTGTATCACTTAGCTGTAGATCCTCAAATCATATCTGAATTCATGCTGACACTGTTCTTTGTTTCTGGAGGGTGGCTACTTTTGTTCCCCATGGTCCCTGTGTGTGTTGTAAAGTAGCCACCACCCCAAGCTCGCTCCTATGATGGACTGCAATCTCAATACAAATTAGTAAAGTAAAAGTGATAATGCAGTCCATCACGGGAGTGAGCTTGGGGTGGTGGCTACTTTACAACACACACAGGGACCATGGGGAACAAAAGTAGCCACCCTCCAAAAGGAAGGACAGAGTCAGCACCAATTCAGAGATGATTTGAGGACCTACAGCCGAGTGATGCACAAATAAGATACATTTTTGTTAATAGGTAAAGAACATGAATGCATTTTAAGGATTTGACTCCTGAGTTTAGTGTCACTTTAAAGGAAACCTGACAGATGAGAATATGGAGGATGCTATTGCTGACCTTTCCTTCTCAAATGCTAGTTGCCTGGATATCATGATGACGCTCTTAATTCAGTATTCCAATAAGGTCTACCCAATCTAGCAAAAGAGAAATATATGAGTTGCAGGTGCCCCTGAGCAAACAGGGAATCTCTCCAATAGGGACAAAGACCAGCCTTGCCACCATTATATCGGTGAAAAAACAAAAGTAGGGGGTGAGATTGTTGCTGGAGAGGGGTAGCTTCTCAAGGATAAGTTTGTTTGTTTGAAAGTACACTCATCCAACAGGAAGTTGTAAGAAATCTCTCCAACGGGGGAACTGAAACACAGACTTGGCTTGCATACCTCCCAACTGTCCCTCTTTTGGAACCAAATCCTCTTTCCCCCTCAGTTGTCCCTCTTTTCTGTCTGATAAACAGATATGTATGAAAAGGTTCTATTTAACTACCAAATGTGTTTTTCTGCACTAAAATCTTTATCTTATCTGTTAATTACCCTGTTTACTATTTGAAAAGCTTACCAATAATAAGTTTGACCTTTATCCTAACCAGATTATTGTACTTTACTGTCTATTCAATTTGCTCCCACTTGATTTGACTGCCATAAGCAAAGAGGGAAAGCTAAGGAGGGCTGAGAATCTACTCCCTGCCCATGTGACAGCAGTGGGTGCCTGGGCAACTCATGACTAAGCACTAAAATGGTCACATGGGAGAAAGGGGAGAGAGTCACATGATCCCCATACATGGAAGTACCGGGATTTTTTATTTGCTCCTGGCAACCAAACAGAGCAGCATGCGCATGATGCGAGCCAATGCATATGGGTCTGTGCAGCTGGTTGGGCCGCCATTAAAATTAACATGTTGCTTTGCCCTGCATGGCATGACAGGACATTAAAATGCTGCATAAGTTGACCGTCTAGGGGACAAATCCTTCTACCAAGGTCGTGTACAACAGTGACAACCCAGAAGTAGATGAATTTGCTCTTTATAATTTGTGAGGTCATTGTGATGATTTGCTGCAGCAAAAGCTTGGAAGATACAATAGAACTGAAGCAAATACATTAAAATAAATTGATCTACAATATTAGGCTGTAACTTTGCAATAAACCATTTATAGTTTACCCAGGTGCCATATGAATGATTTGCATGGCTCTGTCCGCAAAAGTCTAGTAAGCGAGTGATCATGTTTTCATAGAAACGAGGCAACCTCTTCAGCTTGGTGCATAATTATTGCAGCCCACTGGGCTGTAATGTCTGCCTTTTCCATCAACATACAGGTTGGCAGGGATCAAATAGAGATTATGGTGCTACAGGGTGCATGCATTGGGTCATAGAGGATGTCTCCGCACTAGTGTTTCATTAAATCCAAAATCATTGACTTGCCGGGCACTGTACAGCAGCTTCTGCATGGAAAGGTGAGTGTTTTTTACTCTAAAAAGTTTTGAGAGGGCCAGAGAGAA